GACATAGTGAAAACTTCACAATGTATAGTCTATTAGTGGAAACTTGGGACATTTAGGATGAATATTTGAAGAGAACATTAGGATCCTGGCCTCTGCCCCTCTCCTTGCTTTGTTTCCTAGAAGGCATGAGGTGTGTATCTTCTCTCTTCCCTGACCATTTACTATCTTGCCAGAGTCCCAAAGACCAATGAAGGCAAATTTCTGTCTATTGAAAATTTTAATACATATATTACAACTCAGCAATAAGCTGTCCTTGTTACTTTTGAGAGTACAGATTTTCAACCTAGATTTTTAAATAACCAAACTAGTGTTTTGGCCTCTTTTACTAATTTTAATTCTCTTTAATTACACATTAAACGGTGTAATTGACTATTTCCTCTCCTGAGTACTCTAATTCCCTTTAATTAAACAGCATGAGAGAGTTGAGCAGAATACTGATATAGAAACACATGTAGATAATGTACACTAATATTATAAATATAAAAATTTAGTAGTGATAGACTGGAGATAAAGGCACTTGCTACAAAGCCTGAAAACTTGGTTTGAGCACCAAGACACACTTGGTGGAAGGAGAGAACCAACTCTTGGCAATATTCTTTTTTGTCTTTCACTTTTCTTTATTATGAAATATTCTGCTCACTCCACATACTATCCACAAATCCCCTCCCCGCTTCCCCTACCCCCAGCTCTTTTTCCCAAACCACCCCACATCCCTACATCCCCCAAATTGAGGTCTCCTATGGGGAGTCAGCAGAGTCCTGAACAATGAGCCTAGGCAGGTCCAAGCCCCTTCCCACTGCACCAAGGCTGTGCAAGGTGTCACACCACAGGTTCTGGGTTCCAGAAGCCTGCCCATAGACCAGGGACAGATCCCAATCCCCCTGCCTGGGTGCCCCCCAAACAGTTTGAGCCAAACAACCATCTTCCATATCCAGAGGGCCTAGTACAGTCCCATGGGGGCTCCACAGCCACCAGCCCTCAGTTTATGGGCTTCCACTAGTGTGGCCAGTCATCTCTGCACGTCCTCCCATCATGATCTCAACGTCTCTCTCCTGCAGTATCCCTCCTCTCTCTCATCAGTTGGATTCCCAGAGCTCAGCCTGGTGCCTGGCCGTGGATCTCTGTATCTGCCTCCATCAGTCACTGGACAAAGGCTCTATGATGACAGCTAGGTAATATGCTAGGCTTGTCACTAGTGTAGACTGGTCCAGGCACCATCTGGACTACTGCCAGCAGAACAAGGTGGGGTCAACCCTGTGGATTCCTGAGAGCTTCCCCAGCACCCTGCCTCTTCCTATTCCCATGATGTCCTCATCTATCATGGTATATTCCTCCCTGCCCTCCCACTCTGTCCCTGTTCCAGCTTGACCCTCCCATTTCCCTATGTTCTCATCCCCCACTCCTCGGCCTCTGCCACCCCCCCACACCCAGTTCACTCATGTAGATCTGATCCACTTCTCCTTCACAGGGTCATCCATGTGTCCCTCCTAGGGTCTTTCCCTGTTAGCTCCCTCTCTGGGTGTCGACCAGAATCCCGCCTGGCACTAAATTCCTGTCTCCATCTATTCTTCTTTCTCTGTTTTTTTCCTCAGCCTCATGCCCTATTCAGCTACCCTAGGTAACTCACTGGCTGGCTCTAACACATATCTTCAGAGGGACTCAACATGAGCCCTGAGAAAGCCTTGTTCCCACTAACAAATAAGAAAAACTTTTAACTGAGTAATGAGCATAACATAGGGTGAGGTGGGGCAGAATAATAGTGTGGAAGTGAATTTTCTCTCTTGTTCTATGAAGAGCAGAGGATGTCATGGGATAGGACCTTAAAAAGCTAGTATTCTGGGGAAAGGGGACTAAAGTCCAAGAATGTGGATGCAAATAGACTCTGCCTTCCTGCAAAGTATGTCTCCCCATCTTTACTTGACAATAATTCCATAGATGCCTCGAAAATTGCATTTGTGGGCAGAGGAGGAGTCTTAGGGGACAAAGAGGTCAATAGGTAAGCAGCAGGCCCTGAGTTGGGATCTTAAGTACTCCCACAACAGATTTGTACACAATGATCTTCTGGTATGCCATGACAGAAATATTGGGATCCCAGAGGCTCAGTAGCCAGCCAGCCTATCTTAAATGGAGAGATCTGAGTTCATTGAAAAACCCTGTTCCAAACATAAGTTGGAAAGTGAATGAGGAAGACATTGGACAGCAACTTCTGGCCACTACAGGACTGTGTATGCATATGTCTACACAAACACACACACACACACACACACACACACACACACACACACACACACACACACACACACACACACATGACCGCTTGCGCGTGCTCGCGCGTGTACACACTCATACACTTGAGGAAATATCATGGAAAACTGAACAGGAGAAATAAGTTTTAGCGTGATAATGAAGCTAAAGACTTGCTGTCTGAAAACCTGCCAACTTGTTTGTCTTCCAAACATGATTGTTTTTTGAGTCAAAGCTGGTGTTACATGCCTGTAATCTCTGTAACCAGGACCAAAGGCTGAAGAATCATAAGTTCAAGACCAGTGTTGGGTACAGAGCACAAAACTGTCTCAAAAAAAAACCCAAAAGATTATTTGTGAGTACTACTCAGTTAAGGACAGAGTGTTTTCAAAAAGTTAAAATATGGTCCAAACCCTCACAGTGGGTATAATGGCCCTCACTGCTTTAGCCAATATACTATCATCAGTAAGTTTAAACATGTTCATAGTTGTACAAACCTCATCAAGCAACGGGAGAAATTGGCTATAGAAATGAGTCATCCATTAATGACACTGCCTGCTCTTCTAGAAGATAATAATTGGATTCCCAGCACTGATTCTGAGACTAACAACCCTCTGTAATTACAGTATCTGGGGATCTGATGCTGGCTTTGGACTATGCAGGCACTCCATCCATCTGGTACACAGACATACACTCAGACAAAGCAAGAATACTCGTAATTTCAAGCAATAAATCTTCTTTTGAATTTAAAGTAAGAAATGAAAAAGAAGCAGAATAACTCATGGCTTTAATTCTAGTGCTCAGAGGTTGAAGGTGGAAGATACAGATGAGTTCAAAGCCAGTCTGAGTTACATAGAGAGTTCTAAGGCAGGTTGGGCTACAGGGTGAGATCCTGTCTCAAGAAAAGAATTAAAATGCCAAACAAAAACATGCTTGTATTTACAAAGGCTCTACTCAAGAAAGACAGAGGGTTGATCAGCAAACTCAGTGACTAAAGGCACCAAACCAGGCTTGATGACTTAATTATATCCTGAGGAGCCACACCCTAAAGGGAGAAACCTGAATAAAGTGAGTTTGATGTTGATCTACACGTGACCACACCTACGTACTAAATGATTATAAAAAATTTAGGCCAAGTGTGGCAGCACACACATTTGACCCCAGCACTCAGGAGAAAGAGGCAGGAAGACTGAGTTTGAGTCTAGGTCAGATCTGCATAGTGAGTTCAAGGACAGCCAGGATAATATAGAAAAACCTAGTATCAAAAAGAACAATTAACTACAGAGTAGAATTAAGAAAGAGTAAATATTAAGTGACATAAAATATCAGAAGTTGGTTAGCACAGAGGGCAGTGATGAAGTGAGAAGAATGAAGGGAAAATTGGACAAGCACACCAAGAAAATAGCTGATATGAACTCACAGAGACTTAGGGGGAATGCACAAGAAGTGCATGGTCTGATCCCAGTTTTGAGTATATCTTATAACTTTCAGTTTTATGTTTTTGTTGGATTCCTGAGTGTAGGAACAAGTGGGTCTCTGATTCTTATGCCTGTTCTTAGGCTGTTTTTTTTTTTCTGTTCATTTGTCTTCCTTAACCACAACATGTTAGGTTGATTTTATCTCATTTGTTTTATTATTATGCCTTAGAAGCCTGTGTTTTTCTAATGAAAGTTAGAACAGAAATGCATCCAGATGGGAGGGGAAGTAAGAAAACTGTTAAAAGCATAAGGAAGGGAATATATAAGGTATATTTTATGTAACAAAAAAAATCTGTTTTCAATAAAAGGATTTTTTTCAAAAAAGGTTAACCTATTATTTTAAGATAATTCCAATCAAAGTTCTGCTGACATAATACACATAGAGAAAAAAAAAACTAACACAATTTTTATGAAGTCACAAAACACTTTAAATAGCGAAGGCAATTCTAAGGAGTCAAAACAAGCTGAAAAATCACAAAACTTGACATCAAATTACGCTACACAGCCAAAGTAAAAATGACAGCTTGGCATGGCATGAAACCAAAGAGTCAAACCTGAAGAACAGAACAGAGAACCTGGACATAAGCTACCAAAGCTATAGCATCCCAATTCATGAAAATGATTGAAGTAGTAATTTAAAAATTTTTTTTCAACTAAAAAGATCTTCTATTTGCATAGATCCATCACAGAATTCTGGAAGGTACTTTAAGAAGTGCCACAAATATTACTCTAATCAGTGAAAGAACAAACAAACAAGGAAAGGCCTCTTCCAAATGCTTTGGATGTTCAAAAGAACTCAACAAGTATTTCTGTAGAACAGCTACAAGCAGTCTTTCAGGGAAGAAAAGGCTAAAGAAGTTTTCTGGTGCTGGTGTAGAAGGAAGTATTTGTGGATGGACCAGGGTCTCTAGAAGCACAAGTTTATGGCCAGTCATGGTTTCAGTCTTCATTGCAGTTAGAATGTGGGTCTATCAAGTTTTCTGTGAAATCACCAAGCAGTCAAGATGACCTGAGAGGATTAAAACCCCCAAGAAGTGCAGTTTGATTGGTTTTATTTCTTGTTTGCCTAGCTCATGTGCATGTCAGGTGTGCGATGGGAATAATGTAGTAGCAGTTACTCTCATCGAGGGTCCTAATTCAACCAGCTGACAAAACTTGCATATTTATTTTGGTTAAGCTTAGAAAGACAAGATGCTACCTACTTAAATTTCTGTATTCACATTCTGAGGGTGATGTTTAAGTAAAAAAATGCATCTCCCACAGAAATATTCATGTACTTTAAAGATGATTTAAATTATTTTTATTCCTGATCCATATCAAGGTAAGCTTGTAGACAATGGAACAATGATTCATAAGAACAAAGGGTCCAAAAGTCGGAAAACACAGAGAAATGAGGGGAGTGATGTTCACCAGCCACCAGCTGTGATTATAAAATAGAGTAATGCAGCCTCTTAAGATTGAAGAGAGACTATAAAACATCAGAAAGGTAGACACTAAAACAAGGATGTTCTGGGTGGCACTGGACTCAGGTGAGGTCTTGTTGCAACCATGAGAGCTGCGGATGTGTTGAACCCTCTTCTTGTGTCTGTATAGAATGACAATCATGGAGCTGCTGGACCAGGTAATCAGCATAGACAAGAAGACTTCAGGGCACATGACAAATGCTACATGAAATAACTCAATGATTTCATCACCCCCTACACTATTGCAGTATCCAAAATCTAGTTTTCTTGTCATGTTTTTGCTATTAAATTTGATAAATGAGTACACAAATGAAATGAAATGTATTAACATGGAGAAGACCCAGAGGAGGGAAATGGAGCAACAAATATAATTTATACTTTTGAATTTATGACCCTTCCAGCAGAATTCCCTTGGTCTGATGGTCATGGTCTGGAAGACACTCAAGAGACAGGTGGTGCCAATGGACACACTCCGACCGAATGCTTGAATGTATAGTAAGAGCCTGCATCCAAAACTATTTAAGAACTTCTTCAGCCCAAAAGCTGCCATTGTGTGGGGCACTCCTAAAGAGAGTATGATCATGGCATTGGCTGTCATTAGGTTCACAAGAATCAAATCTGTGGGCTTTAACATATATTCTCTATAGTAAATGACTAGATAATAGAGGATAAGAAAAACATTTCCCAGAATTCCAATTGTAGTTTGTGATAAGAAAATAATTCTCATTGCCAGAATCCAGAAGTTCATTCTGTGATTCAGAACAATATCCTTTAGTTTATGTCCCAGCTAGTTCTCTGGTCAAATTAACAAAAACAAATGCTGATAGCTTGTGGTAAAAACAGGACACCTTTAATCCATTGGAGCTTCCAATTAGCTTAAGCAGAGGGTCATTTAAAGTGAGGAATTCAAGGCCAGCCTAGAGCACATAAAAAGATCTCATCCCAAAAGTTTTGATAGAAGTCATCACTTGCTGTGTATGTCACTATGGATTTGCTCAATACCTCAGAATGCACATATTAATAGAAGAAGAAACATTAGTTTTCAATGAAAATCCAACATTCAGGACAATATGATGTTGGCCTGTGATAGACAAAGAAAAGAGCTGGGTGGTCGTGGCCCACACCTTTAATCCAAGCACTTGGGAGGAAGAGCCAGGTGGATCTCTGTGAGTTTGAGGCCAGGCTCGTACACAAAGCAAGATCCAGGACAAGCACCAATACAACACTGAGAAACACTGTCTTGAAAAAGAACAAAAAACAAAAAAGAAATAAAAGAAAAAAAACAAAGAAAAGTTATAGCCCAAACAAACTCTATTCTAGAAAATACTGATATTTGCTCATCTTTATATAAAAGATTACAAATTCAATAAAGACTATATAATTTAAATATATCGATTCTTATTATATAATGTAACTAAAAGTAAAACAAAAATAGTGAGATATTTATAATACCACTTGGAATATATCTATGGTCTTGTGACAGAGCAAAGATTAGTCCATCTTGTCTAAGGTAGAGGCGTTTTTGGCTTAACCCAAAACTGACCTTCTGTTTCCTACCACCTTCTTGTATAGTCTCTTGGGAAAGAAGCCAACCTTTTTCTAAAAACTGGTGGTCATAATGTGCAGGTACCTGAATACTGTTGTATTTTATTAAACTGCTAGTTAGTTTACTTCCCCCTGCCAAATGCCAGTGAGGATATAGATTTTCTGAGTTCTTTGTCTTTTAAAGCTCACTGTAAAATGCATTTGAGGCAGCTATGTGAGAAGCACTTCTCTTCAGGCAGTTGCTTAATTCAGACTCTCAATTTAAACTTTGATGTTCCTGAATGGTCTTCGGGTCTCAAACCTGCAATTGTCTTATATAAGAAAAATTATTAAGAACTCAAAACATCTTGGACTTGACTCTACTGGATGTGCCTCCCCAGGGGAGGCCAGGCCTTCTTGTGGGTGAGAGAGGGGGTTGTATTGGGAGGGGAAGGCTTTAGGGGTGGGAAGAAGGAAGAGGGGTATCTTTGATTGGTATGTAGAATGAACAAAAAGTTTTCTTAATAAAGAAAAGCAGGGAAAAAGAAAGGTAAATAAAGATAAATAAAATCTAAACACACACACAAAGAACACAAATCATAGGAATGTGGGTTCAAGCAAAAACTTAAATCAAAATAATTTAAGAGCTTTCTATTATGAAAATTACATCACATAGCCAACACATGCATATGTGCACATCTGGTCAGGAAACTTTGAGAGGTGGTGACATCTGGTTTTATGAAATCACACAGAATGTATAACTGAACAAAAATAGACAAAATATGTGAGGAAAAGAGTTACAGATAAATATAACATCTGATAAATGATAGCTACTAGGTTAATGATTCATATTTCTATTGAAACTATGTCTGGAATAATAATGCACCTCTCCAAAGTCTAGAGTGGAAATTAAAGGAAAGAAGGCAGTGGGTTGGACAGCCTATCGGTGCAGTAGGACAAAACTCTCAGGATACCATATACTGTTCCTATAGAAGAAGGAGTCTCTATTCAGATAAGGACCCCTGCAGAAGCAGGCAGTGCATTTGTGAATTAGTACCAGGCTGAACCAAGCATCCCCAGGATGGGCACTGTTGCCTTTTCACACTCAACAATCATGCAGAGACAGCCAGCTAGAACTGGGAAAGAACCAACAGTGGAACTTGGGATCTAAAGTAGTTTAAACAGAGTGGGACAATGAGTTGAGACCTTAAGGAACTGCCAGCTATTTGCAGTCTCCCCTTCCCCATTCACTGGCATTGTAGAACACCCTAGGGAATGGTTACAGAAGAAACAGAAGCTACTCTATTAGGTGATGTAATCCAGGTTCGTAAAGACAGGTATCACTAGGCCAAGTGTAATTTCATAGCTTCTAACTTTTAGAAATGTGGGTTTATGTAAGAGTGAGTGTGTAGAGAGGCCAGGAAACTAAAAGGGTCTCAGTGTAAAACAATACACGGGTTTTGGAAGTGAAAGAAAGAATAATGGACACGGGACAGTATAAGCTTGGAGGAGAACAATGGAATAGTAGAAGGGAGACTTTGGGGCCAATAAAAAACAGGAAGTAAGAAAATGCCTTAAGGAAATGTGCTAAATGTAAACAAATAAAGCATAGAGAATAAAAAACAAACCAAACATAAAAATCATCAATTAAAATAATGAAGAAAATATTAAAATTATTAAATTTTGGTGTGCGTTTGGGTGAATTAAAAATCATAAACCATGGCAAAGTCTGTGAATGTCCCACAACTAATATTTGAAAACGGGTTATATCTGCTTAAGTTGAGCTAACGTTACTCTACACACTAGTATTCACATTCTTTTTTATTTTTAAATACTCTATTCACTTCTTAATTTTTCTGAGAAATACATTATACGATTACTATTTAATTTGTGGTACAAATATAAAGAAATATTTAGGCTACAGACCAATGTCTTTAGTTTTTGGAAACTATCATAATTTTACCATTTTTTTCTTTCCTCCATCCCCTTCCAAGTATTAACACATAAACTTCCTCTCAAATATATGACCTCAGACCTTTTTTAAAATTGTTTTTACATTAATATGTGTGTTTGTGTGCATGTGGGTCTGTTTAATGTTAATTGTATTTGCCTGATTTCAGGGTTCACATATTAGTACTGGATAACAAATTAGGGGATTCCTCCCTGGAGAAGACTGCTTTTCTTCCATTCTCAGCAATCCAAACTTACTGTAGGTGGATTCTGAAATTCATGCTTGTATTCACAGCAATAGCATCAATAGCATCAGAAAAAAAAAAATCTGTGTTGCAGTTACACAGGTCATGTGCATAGAAATCCGCTTATAAAAATTCACTTCATTTCATTTTGTGAAGATTTAAATGTGTAATGGCAAATCTACCTTTTAAAAATGTTTTATTTTATTGAATGTATATCACCCTGTACAATTCAAAACCTGCAACCTTTCTTACTTGATCATTTCCAATGGTCTGGAATAACACAAACCTAAAAACCAATCCCAGGGCTGAGGTCCCACTGATGTGACTGGTCCATTAATAGTGAACACAGTCCTATTCCACTCAGTGAACTAAACAACCAAAGTGCATCTCAGGAGTCCAGAATCCTCAGGCATGCCTGATCACATCCTATTATCTTCCAGTACCTTATATTCACTGACATTTCAGCCAGAAATGATAACATATCCCTAGTACCACATTTCTGGAGGCCAACCCCAGCAATGCCTATGTCCAAGAGAGGAAAAAGGAGTTGATGAGGGAAGGATGTTCTGGGCATGATGGTTGAGAGATTCGTAGTTCAGAAGACTCCACAATGATAAAGACTCCATGTCCATAATCAGTCTTAAATCTTTTGGTTTCTGTGCATCAAAGCTTAGACATAATGGTTGTTTCCTTCTGTTTCATCTCTACTCTCTCCTCTTGCACCCTGAACATTACAAGAAATAGAAGGTGTTATTTTTCTTAATTAAGTGTAGACATCACCAACAGCAGTAACAATTGATGAGTCACTACTTGCCTGTTTAACAATTTCTTTATGTTTTTTATACCTGTCTGATGTGTATAGTAGCTTTATTTCAACGGTTAAGACGTGAACATAGAAACAGAAAAGGTTAGTGCCTCTCCTAAATATACAGCTGTTCTTGTCAGAGTGCATACTGGAAGGTCTAAAACATGGCTAGTAAGGCTTAAACATGGTCAACTGAGCTCCTGATCATAAAAATATTTTCAAACACACCACAGTCTATAATGTAGTTTGTATGCCCCACATGACATGTTTTTCATGTTGTTGATATTTTATTGTATGTTTTTGTGGGAAAAAGTTTTATTTAGGAGAGGATACAGATAGCTCAGTCATACAAAACACTTGATGGAATTACAGTGGACCTGAGCTTGAATCTCAGCACTGATATGCTGGCTCACAACTGACTCTAAATTCAGGTCCAGGGAATTCTGACTATCACTTGTGGCCTATGCAGGTACTGTAGTCTCATAGTGCAACATTATATGTACAGGCAAAACATTCATACACACAAAATAAAAGTAGATAAATAAATAAATCTTTTTAAACATTAGTTTTTATTTTCAAAGAAATGTTTCTTTCATAGACAAAAGGCTTTTGGGATTTTAATAAAATGCAGTCCTCTAACAGTGACCTGTGGTGACAGCTGTCCTAACTCCCAGTTTGATTGCACAAGTACAAGATGAAACCTGATGTTTATGATACCATTGTAAATCTGCATTGTTTCTAATGAGGGGGGAAGGCTGGAGTGGTGAGTAGAGATGAATTACTAACATCATTACTCTGTGTAAATGTGACATAAGAGGCTAATGTGTGCTGAATTAACTGAGAAAAATTAAAATACTAAAAAGTTTCCTTTAAATCTTCTATTTGCTTACTAATTCTTACATTGATAAATCCATTATAAGAAATATTGTAATCCACTCTCAAATAAAAAGGATTCATGAGAGATGATAATGAACATGAATAATGCCAGAACTGAAATATTGACCAATATGAAATAAAAATAAACTGAGTGTGGATACAAGCATCGCTGATGGGTAGAGTCCTGGCCTACCATGGCACATGGCACTTATTTTTTCTAATATCAGCAAGGATAAAACAGTGAGGGAAGGCATGGCAACACTTTGTGCTTAACATTAGAATATGATTCAACCAGGGGAGATAACCCAAGACATATTTGTTCCTGGCTGTCATTTCCAATGCTCATATTATTGACAT